TACAGGAGGATAGGATAGGACCAGACTGTACTTGCAGTCCTTCCTGTTATACTCTCCGAATTACCCTAAAATCCCATAGATAAGAGCGGTTTAATTTACCGGTGAAAAATGAATTGGAATGAAATTGAAATTGAATGCAGTCACCCCTCTAACTTGATGGATGGATAAATAAAGATAATATAAAGATAAAGATAATAAAGATAATAATGACGAGCCGCTGCCAAGGGTTCCATGCAAATCACGATAATTGACGGCGTCTAGCTTGAAAGCTGCTTTATACGATTTACGACGTTTCATAGCAGGTGATACAGGATAGAAAGAGTATAGAAAACAGTAAGAATAAAGGTAGAGTTGTAGGCTATTATTGCGATAATCATGAGCACACAACGCCAAAAAAAACGTATACAAACGTCAATTTTCATTTTCTAGCACAAACCGCTCTTATCTATGGACCGCTCTTATCTATGGGATTAGGGTAATCCAAAAAAATACGAAAAATATCAAGTGAAAGCTTTTACATGAATATTAAGTTGATTTTTACTAGAAACCAGATTAAAATTAGAAAAACGGTAGATTGCCGTAAAAGAAGAGTGAGAAACACAAAGATGGGACTGGAAAGATCACAAATCTTAGATAGTGAGGGTTGTAGATGAAGCAGTAGCAAGTGGTGCTGCCACACTCTGACCAGGCTCTGAGCCAACTCTCTGATATATCCTGATTGGCAAGCGTGTTCTCTATCGACATTAACTAATCGTAATGGAGAAAAAGCTGACTTCCAGGAATAGGTAGAGCAAGCGGGCGCAGTTTGTCGACGAGGGGGCATTCTGCTTTCCATAGATGTGCCGACCCATCTAGGTAGCCTTTTCTCGAGTTGACACGTTTTAGGATGGTGGCTAGACGATCTTGCTCCAGCTTCACAAGCGTTCACAAGTTTTACCAGAGTGAGATTTGTAAACCGGAACCAGGGAAGCAATGGTAGTACAAAATGCCCCCCCCCCCGTCGACAAACAGCGCCGAGCAAGCGTCCCAAAAACAGGGGCAAGGTTGGAATTTTTTGAATGTGTCAAAAGGCTCGAACTGTAAAGGAACTTGTGGTTCGTACGCATGCACCAGAGATTTAGGCACTAGATGGATGTGAATTTATAGTCAGGACATCAACATCAGCTTAACGAGGGTACCTCCAGTGACAGATATTGAGCCAGTTCTCCTTCGTGAACAAATATTCGTAAAGATCCACCTTGGATTCTGAAAAGGGGGGTAGCCCTAGGTGCAAATTCATTGGCAGTTGCAGGGTCTATCGACTAGCAAAGGAGCGCGATCGGATGCGGTCGCACGTCAGAATCGCTTGCGTCGCAAAGTATGAACAAGGCCTCAGAAAGGATAAGTGAGAGCAATTGAAAGCAACTGGATTTGGCAGTCAGCATCTCTGCTGACTCACAAGGCTCATCAATTAAGTAACGGAAATAGGTAAATAAAAATACAAATAGGTGAATAAATAAATAAAAAAACAGACGAAGAAAGAGAAGACTGTCTACAATAGCATTTAAACTTGAAAAAAATCCTGTCTCACCGGCATAGAATATCCCTATGAACTTGATGAGTAAGTTCAGCCTGTCGATTCGACACATCCGATGAGACACGCGATAGCCATGGTGTGATATCCTGAAAGTTAAGCGTTAATTTACTGTACTAGCCAAATATTGACGAGAAACAAGCTTAAGGAGTAGTAAAAATAATAGTTAGGGTTCTTTACTTATCTAGTGCCCTACGAGATCGTTAGAGGGGACATCTACTGAAATGGCCTCCTCAGTGAGCGACAGTTATGCCGTACAAATAGAAAAATGCTAGGTAGGTGAAGCATGATATTCGTCAGGAAAAGAATCAATTAATTACAGGCTACAGTAAACATCTTTTCCTTTAAACGATAAAGATCAAACCCATTTTAGGATGCGCCATGCATTTTCCCCCTAGTCAAGGTCCTAGTGGTACTCTGAATACGGTTCGGCTCAACAATGTTTTGCGAAAACCAACCGATGCACTGGTCACTATTCTCACTCTAGGGAGGAGGGGAGGGGGAGGAGGCTCCATCGGCCCATATAGGAAACGGTTCTAAGATGACTCCAGGGTCGTTTTTGCGATGCTATGAGCCACCTTGCGCTAAAACACCTCCACCCTTCGAGATCTGGTAGATACAAACAAAAAAAAAGAAGATCCAACGTATATTTTCATTAAATTGGTGAGCCCCCATTTGAAGCCAAAGTTAACATCATTGTAAGTAGATCAATAAAAATCGAAATTTCTACTATAAATAAGGGGAAAAGCGCTCCCCCCTAGACCCCACTATACTATACAACCAGGCTAAAAGGTTTTTATCTCATAAGACAAGGATTTAACCAGAAAAATTGTCCCCAATATATTTCAACCCCTACGAAAACACTATAAAGAACAAACAAGGTAACAAAGAACAAGAACACGCAAAAATTAGCGGGAAAAAAATGGCAACATAACAAAAATAAGACACAAAAAAAAAGATAAAGAATAAAAGTATAACTGAAAAAAATAAGACAGAAGAAAGAAAAAAAGCAACAAAAAAAGCAGTCCGAAATGTTATTAAGAAGAAAAAAAATAACAATAAAGTGAAAAAGCAGATAAGAAACAATAAGACCTAGAAAAGACAAGAAATAGAAGAAAGATACAAAAAAAAAAAAGGCAATAGAGGAAAACATAAGAGAAAAAAAAAAAAGATAAAAGAAATACAATGAGAAAACATAATATAAGAATACAAGTAATAATAATAGAACGAATTATTGCCGTTTTTACAAAACACTAATAGATAAAAAATAGGCAAGAACCATCAAAAAAATAAATCAGAACCTTAAAAAAAACAACCAAAGATACGATAGCAATAAAATAATATAAAAATTAACAATAAGACAATATAGTAATTAAAAATAAATCGACAGAGAAAATAGTAGCTTATATAGATAATACGAACAAAGAACAGACATAGCAAATAGAAGAAAAAAATAAAGAAAATATTAGATCCAACTAGAGACAGGAAAAAGGAAATATAGAGAACAGAATATCAAGGTAGAAAACAGGCTGCGTTATGCAGCGAATAAAAAAAAAAAACAGTAGAACAAAACATACAGTTCTACAATACTAGTTTAAAAAATAATAGAAAAGAAGCAATTAACAATAACATAGATATCAAAATAAAAAAAATATCCTATCGAATAATTTAAATAAAGATAATAAATAATAAACAATAATAATAATAATATAAGAAATAAACTAAAAATCCAATTCAACAAGAAAGGAAAAAACGAGAAACAGGCGAATAGAAAAAGACATTAAAACGAGTTAAAACTCAGCGAACAATAATAGTAAATCGAATAATACAGAAAAAAAAAAAAACAGAACAAGATATATATAAGAGAATTAAAAAAAAATATAACCCAAACTCACACAAGCTACGAAGATTCGGCTGATAAATGTGAACCCATAATATGCATGCATAGCATAACACGGAACCAGCTATTCATACCAATCCCTTCGCTTCATAATTTGCTTAGCAAATGAATGAATACGAGCGTCAGGAACGGTCGTCCATTTTGGGCGGGCGGGCGAGGAAGGCGTTTGGGACGTAAAGTTGTTGCTCATAGGGCTTACATAGAGCGTACCTTCCTCTGGCAAAATTCTATCACGCAGCGCAAGCTGTCGAGGTCAAACGGAAATTCTGTTAAAGCAGACTGCTACAAATGCCTGGACACCTGAATATTATAGCGATTATTATCGATGAACCAACTACCTTTAAGAATCGAAGGAGAAAGAAGAAGAAAACAGTGATAAAAAAAAGTTTGAAATTACAGATGCCTACAGAATTTAATGAAAAAATAAGGGAGAAACCAACCTTACAAAACTGCATGGCCAAATCGTCAGATGCTCTCAATAACTTCCGGCTACGCCAAATAGTCAAGCTACATTTCATACGGCATTCACGAAATCGCCATTTGCGGCAACCTGAACACGCCTGCGGTGGTGTTAGCTCTGGAAACCTTTCAATCCCTTTAATGTTTCCTTAGGGAGTGTGATATCAAGGCGCAATGTACAGTTCTTCGTTTCTTCTGCTCAAAATCTGCATGCAAGGCTCACTAGAAAAAGGCGTTGTTCGACTTGAGAGGGGCATTTTGCACCTTTACTAACTCTTTTGCTAGTTCCTGTTGAACTACATGTCTCAACTTGGCGAGACCTGCTGACTCTTGTCAAGTGCAAACGATGCTCACTGTACTGCACAGCATTACAGGAATTTACAGGTCTCTACAAGAATCGGCGGTGGTTGATGGGAACCTGCAAATGCCCCTGTCGAGTCGAACCGCGCCAAAAATTTCTATAGTAGCTGGAATGGAATTTTTCCGGGAAGTTGTCGCCTACACAAATGAATCATACAGCTCCTGTTCCGTGTATGGAAGTGGGCTTTTTTTCAAAAGTGTGACTCACTCACCTCTGACTCATCGAAACAGAGCAGTAAAGCGCTGGTTCCTTGTAGAATACCCCGAGCGCCATCGATGAGCTTCTTCCGGGCTGGTACCGAGAACGGATCACCCTGGAATACGGTAGTTTTAGGTGGTACTGTAGCGTCATTCCACGTCATTTGATAAAACCTTGAGCATGTGACAAGCGTCTTCGAGAAGTCGAGAACTGGTTTCGACTCTCTGCAACGCCGGCGGCATATCCTGTTGAAGGATCTGGTCATCGGACGAGTGGCAGGTATCGTAGCCGACCTGAACGTAGGAAAGAATCAGAGCTGTTGCTCACCTGATATGAGTAAGAGCGATGTAGATACTGACGACTTGAGTAGGACTGTTGGTGAACCTCTTGCTGGTGTTGCATCGGCCGCCAGCCGAGTGCTGTTGGCCGTCGATGCACTCACTAACCGCCCAAGCCACCAGTCCAGTTAGGCCTGTTGACTGAGGGTATTACGGTTCGGATAGTCTCGCGTTTACTACTCCGTCAGCATCTTGCGCGCTCGCGCAAATAGACGACGCGGAAAATGGCGCCAGGGGTGTTTCCTGTCCGGTCACTCTCTGTGCGACATATGAAATTCTATACGGACTGCTGCACGGAAGCGGAAGCGCCCACGGCTGGCAGCCTGGAGCAGAAAATGGGGCACCAATACGACGTTGATTGATCAACTGCTTTCCCAGAGATGGTCCAGCGTGGAAGTGCGGTATCAGCGAGTCCTAGAGCACGTCCTGCCCTCGGGGAGAAACCTCTATGAACTACGGCCCATTTCGGAATTCCCTCTTTGGTACGATCCCCTTCCCCACTAGCCACCTTACGCCTAGCTGCAGTTCCTGGATTTTCCCCACCCCAGCACACGTGCAACGGGAAAACCGAGAAAATTTAACAACCGGAGGCATCTGGAAACGTGTTCCCCTCAAATCCAAGAACACCCCACCTTCCCTTGAGCTAGCAGTTACAACCTCCTCGCTTCGACTGGGACTCCTAGTCTACTGTCCCGT